GTAAATATTAAGATTCAATCAATACTAAGACAGTATTACATTTCATGTTTTAAATGTCAATAGCAGTGGCTCAAAACACAATGACAGTAGGACATACTAATTACTTTTTTATTTAAAATTGAACCATGGATTGATTGAAGTCAATAAATATTATTCAGGCAAATACTTCAGATGGGTTGCTGGGGCCTTGGAAAGCTGGCATAACTGTGGGGTTGCGATGTTTAACTTCTTTGCCAACTCACAGGATTTAGAGTCGCCTAAGAGGAACATCTCTGTCTGTGTCTGTAGCAGGTGTCTGCAGAGCTTTAACAAAGCAAGAAAGAACTACCCTGGGTGTGGGTGGTACCATGCCACGGGCTAGAGTTCTCGAGTAAATAAAATGGAAAAAGAAGGAAGAGAAGAGGAGGACCAGTGCCAGCGCTCATCTCTCCCGTTTTCTGTCAGTGACTGCGGCGTGACCAGCTGTCCCATGCTTTCCCCACCATGAGGGATGGTGCTCCCCTCAAACAATGACCCCAGGTAACTCTTCCTTCTTTGAGTTGTTTTTGTCTGTTCTTTGTCACAGCGACAAGAAAAGTAACAAACACGGGGTTCTTCACCTACAAGTCCCAACATGATTTATTCTACTAACTTCTGTTTTAATCAAAATAGTCTTGTTGGAAAAAGTGGACGAGGGGCCAGAGAGATGGCTCCATGGTTAAGAGTATACACTGCTTTACAGAGGACCCAGGTTCAATTCGCATCTGACAACTGCCTGTAACTCCAGTTCCAGGGGATGTAATGCCTTCTTTGGGGCGTCTTAGGCATCTCCACACACAGTGCACATAAAGTCACGCAGCACACCCACATACTAATGGATAAAAATAAATTAAACATAAGAAAAAAACCATAATTTTACAATATATGGTGTAGGGGATCCCTCATTTTAAAGGAAGTCTCCTTTTTATGAACTCATTTTTTTTTTATTTTATACTCAAAAGAGTGCAGTTACAGTGGTGACAAGCAGACCTCTGAATAGAATATATAAGTATCATATACTTTATAGGTGGACTTCTCCGTCCCACCAACCGGCTCCCAAATAACCACATGGAGACTTCTTATTAATTATAAAAGATCAGCAGATAGCTTAGGCTTATTTCTAACTAGCTCTTATAACTAAACTGAACCCATTTCTATTTTTTTCTTTATTAAGAAATTTTCTACTCACTCTACATACCACCCACAGATCCCACCTCTTCCCTCCTCCCATCTCCCAGCCCTCCCTCCCAAGCCACCCCATGTCCCCACATCCCCCAAATCAAGGTCTCCCATGGGGAGTCAGCAGAGTCTGGCACACTGAGCCTAGGCAGGTCCAAGCCCTTTCCCACTGTACCAAGGCTGCGCAAGGCGCCACACCACAGGCTCTAGATCCCCAAAAGCCTGCCCATGCACCAGATACGGATCCCGATCCCCCTGCCTGGGTGTTGCCCAAACAGTTCGAGCCAAACAACCATCTTCCGTATCCAGAGAGCCTAGTCCAGTCCCATGGGGGCTCCATGGCCACCAGACCACAGTTCATGGGCTTCCACTAGTGTGGCCAGTCATCTCCGCACTTCTTCCTGTCATGATCTCAACATTCCCTACCTGCAGAATCCCTCCTCTCTCTCATCGATTAGATTCCCAGAGCTCAGCCTGGTACCTGGCCATGGATCTCTGCATCTGCCTCCATCTGTCACTGGACAAAGGCTCTATGATGGCGGTTAGGGTATTCACTAGACTGGTCACCAGAGTAGACCAGTCCAGGCACCCTCTGGACCACTGCCAGCAGTCCAAGGTGGGGTCATCCTTGTGGGTTCCTGGGAGCCTCCCCAGCACCCTGCCTCTTCCTTTTCCCATGATGTCCTCATCTATCATGGTATCTCTCTCCCTACCCTCCCACTGTGTCCCTGTTCCAGCTCAACCCTCCCATTTCCCTATGTTCTCATTCCCCACTCCTCGTGCTCTGCCACACCCCCAAACTCAGTCTGCTCATGTAGATCTCATCCACTTCTTCGATGGGTCATCCATGTGTCCCTCCTAGGGTCTTTCCCTGTTAGCTAGCCTCTCTGGAGCTGTGAACCCATTTCTGTTAATTTACTTTCTGCTTCATGGATTTATTACCTTTATCTCATTTTGTGTGTCTGACCCGTTCAGTGTCTGCCTGGCTTCTCCCTGCATCTCCTGGCAACTTTGCCCTTCATCTCCGTGCTCTCTTCCTGTCCACAAGTCGGGCCTAGCCTCTTCCTGCCTAGCTATCGGCCATTTAGCTCTTTATTAAACCAGGGAGGGCAACACATATTCACAGTGAACAAAAAGATTATTCCACAACAACACTTGCTTCCAAAACTTTTCAGACTGAACTACGAGACTTGTCTTTGAAACACATTGGACTCATTGGATGGTTGTAGGTCCTGATATGAACAATTTGGAAGTGAAAACTTATCTCCAGTGGGTCATTTGGTAAAAAGATCAGGAGAAAGAGACTGAGACTAGAGACTGGCCCCTGCCAAGATTAGTGCTTCCTTCTCAATTGCTCTTCCTGGGTAAAAGGAGGATGGTGATTACACTTGTGCCTGGAAAGCATGAGTGTTGCCCTTCTAAATCCCTGGCAAAACTTGTGCTATGTAACCACAGGACTATAATGCTCTGGAAACCACATTTTGCAACCCCAATATATGAAGCTGCAAAACTGGATGGAGACAAAAGACATACTTCCTCCTTAGAAAAGGAAAGCCTTTCTAACTAAAACACTCTGTTTTGGCAAAGTCTTTTAAAACATGTGAAGAGTAAATGCAGAAAGCACTTTCTTTCTAAGATTCAAATCATTTCCCATCTGACATGTGAAGCATGCTTCCACTGGAACAGTCAGCTAATGTTTGGAGTGGACTTTTTCCTCTTGTTGCTTATACTTTAGCTCTACTTTGTTAGTTGTGTGTGATACGTGTGCATATACATGTTCATGTGTGTGCATGAGCACACATGTAGAGTCCAGAGGTTGATACTGGGTGTCTTCCTCAATTGCTCTCCGCCTCATTTTTGAGTCAGGATCTTTCACTGAACCTGGAGGCCACTGATTCGATTAGACTACCTGGCCACCAAGCCCCAGGGATCATCCATCCCCACATGCCCAGATCTAAAATTACAGATGTGTGCTTTCTACATCTGGCTTTCAAGTGAGTTCTAGGCAGGTCCTCATGTATGTGCAGCAAGCACTTCACCAGCTAAGCCCTCCAGAATGTATTTTTGAAGTGTGTAAAATAGATACAATAATTTTGCAAATCTAATTTAGATCATTGTGGGATTCAATGAGGTAATTGCGATAGTTAATCTTGTCAGCTTTCCAGGATTTTGAGTCTCTCAGGAGACAAACCTCTGGGTGTGCCTGTAAAGGTGTTTCCAGGGAGCTTTAACTGAGGGGGAAGAAGCCCTGTGGGCAGTGCCATACCATGGACTGGGATATTGGAATAACAAGGCTTAGCACCTCAGAATTCATCCTGACTGCAGATGCGATGTGACCGGCTGCTTCACACCCCTGCCTTCTGCACCTTCGTAGACTGGACCCTCAAACCATGACTCAAAAGAAAGGCTTCCTTCCTTGAGTTGCTGTCGATAAGCATTTTGTTAAAGCAGTAAGAAAAGTAACTAATACAGCTTGGTAGTGAAACCCACGGCTTTATAAGCTCTTGAACCAGTGAGCTGCCTTCCACTGAGACTGGAAGCGGAGCCAGATCCTGCCTTCTTAGCCCCAAAGTACCTTTCCAAGCTGAAGGTTGAGTCAAAAATCTCCTACACACTCTCTTCTGCAACAGATTAACATTCCCTTCTCAATCACTGCTTCCCAATCCCACCCTTTCCCTCATAATGAGGCCTTTTTATCCAGCCAACTTCACACTCTCTTTAAAAGCGAAACATATGTATCCAATAAAATGGATGTGTGTATGTTCAATATCACTTGTGCCATTTTTCCTGTTAAAGAACTCTTAAATACGTGCATAAAAATTGGGCTACTTAGATAAAGAACTGGTTGGTTTAGGAGTCCTGAGTTGCACATTTGGTCTGGTTATGTGTTACTACAATATCTATCCTCAATTCCAGGTTGCGGTTGCGAGTGTAATGACCTAAAATTCGAAGCCAACAAAAAACTCCCTGCCCAATTTATCTACAGATTGTTAACAGGCAAGATTCCAGGGGCCCCTCCTCCACCCGCTGTGCCTAGTGGCTGAACCAGACCCACCGTGGATATGCCTTGGGAATTTGTTCTCTTGAGTTAAAAGCTCTCCCCGCGGATTCTGGGGCAGGCCAACACTTAAGAAGCTCCTGGATCTCTGCCCTCTACTTGGCAAGGATGCGGGGCGGGGGAGGCTTGCAGCACTGGTGTCTTCTTGGACCCTATTGGAATGGGGGATTCTCCCATCCTCCGGTCAGACCCACTGAGTCTGCATGGGGCAGTTCTGTATTAGCAAACAATCAGTCGATTCTGTAGCACTAGATGCTTGAGGAGCTTTGAGCAAGGTTATTTACAACCTGCATACCTGGGCCCAACCCCTCGAGTCTCCTGTGCTTATTTTGGGGGTGCGGCCTGGGCAAAGGTCTCTTACAAGCTTCTCAAGTTCTCACTGTACATGCGGTCAAGGTGAAAGATGTCCCTAAATGGAAGCCCTTGGGGGTTAAGCAATCACCCGAGTTAAACTTGGCCTTTGTGGGCTGTCCCGGGACCTTAAGACAGTTTCGATACACTGCCTTTTAATGGACAATGGGCTCAGGAGGCAAACTCAGCCACAGAGCTTGAGGTTATCAGCCCCAGTTGCGAGTCTCCAGCACCTGGCCTTGCAGCAGGCGGCTACATTAGCTTCGCGTCCGGGACCCCGCCCCACCCTGCTCGCCCCGCCCTACCCCGCCCGTTAGCCCCGCCCCCGTGACGTGCCGCAGCAGTCGCGAACATGCGCACTGGGTCCCGCGCGCCGCTCCTCGGCGCTGTCATTCTCCGCGGCGCGGCGGCCAGTGCGGACTGCGGTTCCTGCCCGGCGCGCGGGCGCTGTGACTGCTCCTCCGGGGCGGACAGGCGGCTCTGCAGCGCGCCGGCGCCTCTCGTGCGGGGACTCCGTGGCGTCGCATTCCCTCGGAGCGGGAGACACGCGCCTGGAGCTCGGAGCGCAGCTCTCAAGGGCTGGCGGCCACTGCGGCGCTTGCTCCGATCCCGGGCGCAGTCCGGATCGCCGCGGCCGCCCCGTGCGCCCGGGAGAGTGCGCCGCCCCGGGCGCGGTAGAGCCGAGGCGACAAGGACCAGGCGGATCCTGCGCCCGCTGCCACCGACCACCGAGGGCCAGCCGGGCTGCGCGTGGCGGAGTTGCAGCGCTTCTTAGCGCGCCGAAGCCCCAGAAGACCCCTGCCTCCTGCAAGCCAGTAAGTTGACTGTAGTTTCTGAAGTTGCAGGCAGCGTGGGAAGGTTTGTTTTATTCCTGTCGTGCCAGGCCGAGGTGGCACCTCCTGTTAGCCGGGCTGCAGCTGGAGGAGGGAGTACTGCAAAGGAGGGGGCATGGCACTCGAGGACTGACGGCTGGAGTCCAGGACTGGCTCCTGCCTCTGCTGAATGCGCCAGTTGGAAATGTGCTAGGAGAGACAGGTGCTCCGAGGGCATTTGGCCCGCCGCTAATTGCACATTTTGAGCTCCTTGATTCTACGCGGCGTGGGGTCAGGGGCATCCGCCACCTCCATCCTAGGAGGCTCTGCTGACATCCCCCTGAGGACTGGCACAGAGATGAGACATTGCTACTCAGGCCTGCAGGCTTTCTGTGCATCCCACTTCACTCTTCCCCTAGGCAGAAGTTGGCAACCTCCCATAATTGGAGCCTAGTCCTTTAGGGAAAAACAACTTCTATGTCAACTGAGTGTTTTGTGCTCTAAGGCAGAGAAAATGAGAAAAACGATCTGTGCGCTTTAATTCATACGCTTTAAGAATGTGGGCAAGTATCAAAGAAAGAGGATTCAGATGATGGCTGAGTTGTCCTGCATCTCTTATGTAAGCCTCCTGGCTGGGTAACTTTGCATCTGCAGGGGCTGCAGCTGTGCCGCCAACTCCATTTGTTTCAAGTCCAGCTTGAACCGTATTTAATGAAAATGTTGACATGATATAGCGGTTTGCAGTCACAAACAGGGCAGTCTTTAAATTGGAGTGTCTTCTCCTAATGGGGAGCACGGGGGGAAGAACTCGGTGTATTTTTCAAGGCAGTTCAAGGAATTAGATACATAAATCATTCTTTAAAATGCCATACATTGTACAGAGAGCATGCACAGGACCCCCTTTAGAACACATCCCCTTTTGTCTTAGGAAAAGTAGAGATTGTTCATGCCAGACAATTGTTGAGTCTGAAAGTTAAGTGCACTGATGGGCTTAATTATCTTAATAAACAAAGAGCATGATTTATAGGTAGCTGCAGTGGCCTACTTTGAAGGGTAGAAATCTTTAACCTTTCTTTCTCAGCTGCCCCCTAGAGATTCTTTTAAAGCAGAGCAATGGATTAATGCCATTGATGTTAATACTTGAGTTGATTAAATTTGTAAAAGGAATTCTTTGAAATACCATACAGCCCTGCTGTGTGGCTGATAGGCAGTGAATATTATAAAGAAAGATATTTAGAGCACTGATCATAGAAGGCTTTACATGAACCAAATAGCTCACGTTGCAGCTGCCCTGTGATATGTTGTATCCACAGACAGAAAGAAATGCGTACAGAGAAAACACATACATGGATTTGGATTTGAAATAAAAACTCAGGGATGTGAGTTTTTAATTTAGATGACCTTTAGAAGGAGGTGTGTATATATTAAGGTGTTTCAGTGAATAAAACAAAATGACTAACTAGTTACAGGCACCTGATTTAAACATAGTTTTTATTTTAAGAATTCTAAGAGGGGGAAAAAAGGGGGTGCTGTTTTCTAAGTTAAAAAGCCAGTCAATGCTGAGTTTGTAAGAGCACTGGGGGCTGACCTCTAGAAGAAATTTTGGCCAAGTGTGGGCATCTAACAGGCCGGCCTGTTGTGTCAAGAAGCCAGGCTGCTCGCTCTGTTGCTGGCGTTGAATCTGGGCAAGTTACCACAGTTCTGCGCCTCAGTATCCCCATCTGTAAAATTGGTGGGTGTGACAGTTGTACCTCCCTCGTTGGGTTGTGTGAGGATTAAGTGGAATCCTGCATATGAAGGAATTGAGCCCGTGTCGAGTACGTTAGGCTGACTTTGGGAAAAAATGCACATTGCTGTGAGAGGAAATTTGTCTTGGGATAAGCTGTAGACATTAAACAGCTGTTGCTGGAGGTCTGTAGAACAGTTCACAAGTGTAATAGGAGAGAGGATGTGAACATACTAGCCACATTGCTAATAGCGGACTTACTGTCTCCAGCGGCACCTCCCTGAAGGCCTTCGAGGGACTTGGCTTTGTCTCGGTGTTAGGGAGGAAGAAACTGAGGCTGAGATCAAATAAATTAGAGTGAGCATCTTAAGCATGCCTGTCGGAAACAGTGTCCTTTGACCCTGCTGCCTCCACTTATAAGCACAGTAGATGGGTTATTATCCTCTTTGTCCATAGGAAGTTTATGTTTAAAGTTTGGAGTACGCAAACTGCTAAGAGTACTCACAGCCCAGTTCCCCACGAGGGGAAGCTGCTGTCATCATCCTCAGTGGTTGCAGGCCCCCTTAGTGCTAGTGTGAGAGAGGTAATGGCGTTTTTGTCTTCTGTTGGAACTAGATTTAGATTCTGTTATTTCTTTCTTCCCTGTCTATATATTCATAGAGTTAAAAAGAAAACTTGCTGTAACTTGATGCTTCTGATACTGGAGGTTGATGCAATCTATTCGCCTCCTGCCTGCCTGTGTAGTTGCCGTGGTCCACACAGAGTCAAGTAAGTTACCACAAGCAGCAATAATCAGTCCGCATTGTCTCTGAGCCTAGGCTAGTGTCCACGGGAGAACTCCACTCTGGCAGAGAGTGGGCCTTGTACTTCGGCTGGACTCAGTGTTCTGAAATGGGAATCATTTCTCCATCATAGCTATGGGCACACTTCCTTCTGGCTTAGGTTCAAATCCGTGGGAAGAAGTTGTGAGGACTCTCTCTGTGCCATCTTGGTTTGAAATGGCCGTGGCCTGTTGAGCTTCCTCCCCGAGTTCTAGGTCTACAGTGATTGGGTGGCCATGGTACTTCTGTGGCTTTCTTAAGTTCACCTACCATCATCGTGCTCTGGCCTTTGATCTTTATCTTCCAGATACTAAAATCTAATGGCTAGAGAAAGCTCCCAGGCAGCAGACTACCCCAGCTGGTTTAATGTTTAATGAAACCTCCCAGCTAATATAGCTACCACTGAAAGGTACTTCAGGCCAGATGTTTACCAGTCACAGGTTTCCCCCTCCTCCCCATCCCTCCTTGGTCTCAAGTCAAGCTTCCCAAGAGTGAGTTCCAGTAGGCAGCGTCTGAGAGCCTGGAGACACAGTACCACAGCTGCAGTGTTCCAGAAAGGACTCCTGCCGCCAACTGAGGCGTCTCTCTGCTACCTTCTGCTGCTGTTTCAACCCTCCTGTTCAGAGGATCCACACACCCTTTCCTCAGTCACTAGCTGTCTCAACCGTTCCCTGTTCTGGGTTTTCTGGTCAAGTATCTCCCAGGAACATGTCTATAACTTGAACTAACTAAGTCTTTTGAAAATAATTTGCATATGGTTGTTTTATTTCCTGTCTGTGTGATTTTAGTGGATTTTCTGTTGCCACTTTTAAATCTACAAATTTCCCCCTGACACCCAGTTTTCTTTTGCTGTCAGAAGGCCCGTGTACAGCACGCAGCCACACCACCCTTCATTCTCCCAATCAGTTTCTGAAGTTAAACAAGCTTGGACCTGGTGAGAGAAGGCCCGTGTGCAAAATGCGCGAAACAATTTTAATATGGATCTAAGTGACTTGAGACTCTGCTGCAACTCCATTGCTCCTTTGGCTTTTCACTTTGTATTGAGGAGCTGGGAGTTGATCCTGATCTTACCTCATGCCCCGTATCCTGGTGTCTTGGGAGTGAGGCACATTTCTGGTTTACAGGCAAGCTCTTCATCTGCTGTGTGGCAGAGATTGCACCTCAAGGCCAGGTCTTTGCATAGTTCAAGGCCAAGGGATGGGCTTGAAAGAAGACAGCCCTGAGCACGATTTATCTGACTGCTTTCTAGTCCCCGCTGGTCATCCTTTCTGTTGAGTTGGAGTGAAGAGCCAGCTGGGAGCACTTACTCAGTGTTGGCTGTGATGGCAACATTACGTACAGTCTTTCCCTCAACCCTTCCACTAACCCTCTGGGTAGTTCCTGTATTTTAGCCATTCCCAGAAGCAGAAATGGGCCTGGAAAGGTCATGGGTCCAAGATTACATGGGTGAGTTTTGTAAGAAAAAGTGGAGCTCAGAACTTTTTGGTATTCCTTGCAGAATATCCTTCTGCCTCTGGGTTTTGAGCCGTTGTGATGAATTATATAGTAGAAATGTTCTTATGCTTTGTAGAACCTTCTTGCCCACAGCTGGGATTGGCTGAATAAGAAGTCTGTCTCTGTACGTTTGTCGAGGTAGAGCTTGAGCTTAGTTTATGCTAGATCTCAAAAACCACATTTCACTTTGCAAAAAAGAAAGAGTGAAAGCCATGTGTTACTTCATAAGAAGCAGGGAAGCTTCCGGTGACAAGGCAAACTTGCTTCATCTGTGTTTGGAGTCAGATGTTTACATCATTGTCCTTAGAGAAAGGAGAAGTGGAAAGGCTGAAGACTTTTCTCAAGTGATTTTTTTTAAAAAGTTTATTTAAATCTAAAAATGCCTGAGGTACCACAACAGCATCCCAAATATGGTTTTTAAAGGGAACGTACCCACATGTCTAACAAGTAGGGTTCAAGTGTGTCCTGTCAGAATAAGAGCACAGCACCCCGTCTCCCATGTCTGTGCTGTAGCCTTCCTGACTCCAGTCCAGATGGACAGCAGAAACTCCATCCTGGTAGAGTCTAAAACCCTTCCCTGAGAAATGCCTCTGCAGAGGTGGGGATGGTGGTAGTGGGAGAATGGGACACATGGACAGACTGACTGATTGACTGCCTAGAAGTCAAACCCAGCACATGCTAGGCAAACCCTCTGCCAGGGCACTGCGTCCTCAGCCCCATTTCCCCTCCTTGATTTCACATTGGAACCAGCGTCTTTTCAGTCTGAATTTAAAAGTTAGTATCTCTGGACCAGGCATAGTGTTTGATGGCGTCTCTATCCCTCTGCTAGACTATAAGACTGAATGATTTTCAAACCAGCGAGTGATTAAAAACTTACTTTACAACCCTTTTCTAAATAGAGACTTGCCAGGGACAGGAAATTTGAACTATGTGTGGCCTTTACTCGGATAAAGAGTGCGTGA